AAAGCTGATGTCACTAACGAATGGTGGAAGTAATTGGCACTTTTACTACATCCCATTGCCCCACTGAACCCGTAGAATGGTGATAATTTCCCCTCGACTACACTTTCTAAGAAATTTTGAATAAATGACTTATAATCATTTCTGACCCCCCCCCCCAATAAAAAAATAAATCAACGGGGCAAAGAGTGTATCAACAACATAACGATTAAAAGATCGAAAAATTCCAGTTTTACAAGGCTGATTCCACATTAAGCAAGCAATATACGCTATTCAAACCGTATTTCATACTAAATCTCGATAGCCTTATCGCGTTTGGAAGATGGACTCTTCTTCTCTAGGGATGGACTGAAATTCCGTGTAGGTTCTAAATAATAGTTTATTCTTTTTTTAAAAGTCAAACATGACTTGGTGATAATCCTTAACAATTTAATTGACATTTAGAAACCCAGAGAAATCATCGTGTATCAAAATAAACACAAGTTTATACTCAGAACTAATCTTTGGTTACATGATGAAAATCAAGCCAGAAACATTTTTGATTTAGTTTTTGGCTTTCTATGGACTGTGGTATAGAATTAGAATGAAAGAATAAAATAGAAAACAATTCCAAATTCTAACTCTCAGTTTTATTAGCAACTGATGACTTAGGGGGTGGGTAGAGTAAACGACGGTTTCTTAGCACCTCAATTCGCACGGGAATCCATACGACAGTCGACTTGAACGACATGTCTTCGTATGAAATAGCACGAACATCCGTTTCTTCTCTAGCTGCTATTGATATGCGACGGTTCAATGGATATGTCGGCCGTGGAAGCAATATGTGTACACGTGACTTGTATCGCTGTTATAGACGGAGATCACGCTTGATTAAATTGCGCATTGTTGCTTCAGGCATGTGGAGAACTTCTACCACTGATCTTTGTGTTAACAGGTTCTCAAACTTTTATAAGACGTCAAACTTTGCTTTCATGGTTGGGGTACGACTTATCGCAGGTCTCTTTCTGGATGGTCCTTGTTTCACAAGTTGATCCATGTTTCTTTGTTTTCTTATGCCAGATCTGAACACATCTTTATGAGCTGGGTGTATGGATATTTTGCGTCTGAAAGAGCTTTTACATACCCTTCCAACATACGACCAATTCTAGGTGGCTTCACATTACCCATAAAATGCCAAACAATGTCGGAATGCACATCCACCACGGCTTTATATAGGTCATGGTTGTCATATGACTTGCTGATTTGCGTATTAAAAATCGTTTTAATATGACGTACCCAACACTGTATAATATGACACAAAGTTAAACTTACGATCAAAGACAAAGACAGAAAACAGTATAAAGTTGAACAACGTAAATATATGAAGATGAAAGACAGAGAACAACTTAAAATGAAACAATGTAAATTGTTTACGACCGAGATCAAAGACAAGAGAACATATCAAAATACAAGAAGTAGAAACAATTAAACTTACTACTGAAATCAAAGATAGAAAGATATTTTCAATTAACGTTTTTGTACTATTTTTGTGAATAATATAGTCAAGCTTCCAGTATATGTTTCTAAGTAAAGTCCAAGATTCCAATGTAATTTTTATATAAATTGTTCCAACATTATCTGATTTTCATACAGTATTCTGTGTATTTCTGCACTGAAGAAAATGGTTTATTACGTGAGAAGAGGTAATGTTAAAATTCAATAATATAATGTGATGAAGTGTTGCAGCAGTTGTGACAATCTACTGAATACCATCTAACAGAAACGTTTTCAAATGAGTCTGATCAACTTTTGTCAGAACTTTATCACAACGTCCACTTGAACTGCAACATACAGAGCACACCCAGAACAACTTACATGATATTCAGGACCTAGCAAAAGTTGTGCTCCTGTATACCATACACATATTCAGGGAATCTCTGAAACCAACCCTTGCTTAAGTCCCAAGTGTCATTTATGCATTATGTCTGACTAGTTATACCACAGTTTTTTTTATACCAGCTCAATTTTCAAGAAACTCATAAAGAATCAGCTCTCTTTCTCTCTGGATATACAGAATGCTTTAATATATGTATTTCTAGCCACTCATTCCCACCACACTGCAACAAAACTTACCTTAAGGATTTTATAATTTACAAACATAACAAAAAATATAAACAATATACTGATTATTTTCATTTACACACAAAACTGGTGTGATTAAACAATATCCAGCTAAAATATGTAATGCTACAATTGTAATTTACAGTAATTATCTTTTTTTTTTCATTGTGTGGTTTTCTACACTGCTAATATTGGCCAACCATATGTATTTGACAGAACACAAATGAGTCATTAATGTTCTTCAGATGATGGAAAATACAAAAAAATGTTATTACCATTACTAACATCCTCAAAAATATTCATTTCACAACCATACCCAATAAAAAAGAAGGAAGATAATTTTCTGAAAAGAAAACTTAGGGAATAAGAATAAGTGTAAACAAATCAATATAAACAGAAATCAAAGGCATTTTCTCTAAAAAGATGAAGCAGTTGTGGCTGAACACAACCTATATTTTCTGAGCAAAAAATTCAGATTTCTTACAGATAAAAGAAAGCCATTTCATCTCAAAAAGAAATACATTAAGACGGTAATCTGGATCCAATATTTCTTTGCTGATAAACTCTTGTGCTAGTTGAAGTGTGTCAAAACAGCTATACCATAATTCTTACAATTGTAAATGACAATCATACTTCAATTGCTTCCAACATAACTTTTTTTTTCCTATATTAAAATTATATGAACTTATAATAGAGGATTTTGAATATTTTCATAACTTACAAATGTGTTGTTTTATAAGCATTTGCATACTGCTTGTGATGAATTGATTTGCTTTTACCTTTCATTTCAAGACATTTTTTTTACCTAAGCTTTTGTCTTTAATATTGACAGATTTACTTTTAACCTTCTATTTCAAGACCAAATATGCTTTATTAAGACTTCCTTGTTTGCAGAATTGACAAAGAATTATTTTGCCCATTCAATTTCAAGATAAAAACCCTTATCAAGATTTGTTTATTTCCAGTAGTGACAGATAATTATTGTTTTATTTCCACTTCAAGAAACAAACAGCTTTATCAAGAACTAATTATCTCCAGTAATAACATGCTTGTTTTTGCTTGGCAAAAAATTCCAGTATTGGCAAGATTTATTTTCAACCTTCCATTTCAAGATGCAAGTTTCACTCAGATTTTCCATTTCTAGACTTGACAGATATATTTTTATCTTATATTTCAAGGCACAATATGCTTGTAATAACAAAGAAATACTGTTAACAATTCTTTCTCAGACACAATATGCTTTATCAAGATTTACCTCTTTTAATGACTAAAATATCATTTTCACCTAGATATAATTTGTTTAATCACTGTGATTGTAGTACCTTATGTAATCACCTAAGACTGATTACTAATTAGTTACTGGTCTGCTACTCTTTTCAGGGATACTTGAGAGGGACTGTTTACCATGGCAGGATTTTCTTTGCTAGAAAAGCAGGTGTGTTACCCACTCATGGATTCACCACACTTGAACTTGAAGCAAGTAGAAATAAGGATGATTTTAAGAGGAGTATCCATGTCTCTCTGACTTCTATACTGGGTTGGCTGAAACTGTTCTGACATTATGCTACTTGAAATCTTTTGTATGTTTTAAGGCAGGCTTTTCATATGGGGGAATATGGCTGTGTATCTTTAACGTTGTTCTTGTTTTTTCTTAATGTTTATCTCTTTTATTCTCTTCTTTGTTAAGTGTTCAGGGTTGAACACTTAAACCCTCTTTGTTGAGAGGGTTTAATATCTAAATTTTAAAATATATACAAAATCTTTGAATGACTACCACAGAAGAACTGGAGAGAGAGATTCTTTTCTTATTCAGGTGAGCTTTAGAAACATTAACTCAATATAGTTTCAATGGATTTTCTATTCACACAACTTAAAGCTCTTCTCAAGCTGCTTAATAGTTCTATCCAGCACTATTTTAATATAGTACTGATCTGAATAAGTAAAACTCTAATTTATTTTTTCCATACAAAGATATACTTTGTCATTTTCTCTATCTTTTTTTCTGTTGAAACCACTTTTGTAATTAGACATTAACATTACAACATGTTTTATCAGTATTTTTGGGCTTTTGAAACATATATCCACAAAGTAATTAGTACCTGATGTCCCTTTACTGCTCAATACAAACCCTAACTAAGTTACAGTTTTTCAACTTATTTTGTTAATCTCATTAAATATTCAATATGACTCGTGTTTCATTAAAGAAACTGTTTTTCATTATAGTTATTAATTACACTTAACAGCTATTTCTTTTTCTTTCAAAGGTTCTAAATTAGTATAAAAAAGTTTAAACTAATAAATGGATGAAGGAAATAAAACTTAAGCATTTATAAGTATAATAGAAAGGTATACGTGAATGTTATCTCATAATGCATTTACACTATACCACAAATAACTATTTGGACATTCCTTATAAAGGAAAAACAAGTTTACTGCAACAAATTTATAAATGACAAATATATATATATATAAGCTTTTTTTTTTAGTAATGACCCTAGTGGCTTTAAGAATAGCACAATGCAGTCAAACTGCATATCAGAGGTGCTGTATTTTTATTTGTACTATTTACCTTTTGCATTTCATACTACAGGTGGATTTATATAGTTTATTTCTGTAGTTACTAAATAATGTTACCAAAAACAATTACTTTTGTTGTAATATGCCTTTTAAACAAGCTCTCAGCTAGTTTTAAAAAATAAGACAAAGCAACAAGATTACATGCTGAACTAAAGTTATCTGAAACGGGCATGTAAAAAATAGTTCATACATGTGATGCTTATTTATAAATCTTAAAAACAAGCAATAAGTCAAAGGTTATTAATACAGACATTATAGAAGATATTGTATAATAATGGATGAAACTATATGAATAAACTTTATTAATTCAATAGAAAATAGCTTACATTGGTTGGATAGAATCACCCATAGCAACACCCTGTTCCCCTATATCACTTTTCGCCAATTATATTGGATGAAAAGCAGCCATCTTTTTATCCTCTTGAGAGTAACTGCATATACACACAAGTCAATAAATTACTAACTTGCTATGATGGGGAAAAAATTATAAATGTATTGCGTTTTCTTTTTTATTAGGCTCTTCCCTGTATTCTACATATACCTTTGAACACAAATGTAGTTTCTGTCATGGCAAAATGTTATGATACATACGACATGTACCTAAACAGAAATAATTAAAACATTGTGCAAAATAAGTTAATTCACCTGTAATCTTAGACACCTTAGGATCTGTTAGTTACTTACTGCAGAATGAGATAAGTGGTACAAGTTTGTAATGATCAAAGAAGATCTATTACAAAGCACTACAGACTGAAGATATCAAAAGGCAGGAAACCATCTAAGAGTCGACAAACCTGTCCAGATGCTGCTAGAAGGAAAATATTTTGATCCCTCATCTTCCTTGCTTCTGTACATGTAATATTCAACAAAAGTTATTAACTTTGTAATATTTAATACAGTAACTACAGTTAAAAATAATTATTGAAATATTTTCTAATGCCAATAGTATGCCTGATAACATTGTAAAAAAAAAACATAAAACTGTATAAGTAGCAACATGATTAGTAACAAAATTAAGTCCCTCCTAAAAAAAAATGGCATAATGTTTAACAACAATAAGTCTAAACAAAAAGACGAAAAGCACAATTAGGCAAAGAAAATATGTATATTCCACAAAAGCCAATATTTTTGGCAAAAAAACAATTGCTTCCTGAACAGAAAGCACCATGTCTCGCTGGAAAACCTTGCAATATGCAAAATATTGGTAATTTATAAAAGCTCATCTCGGTTTACCAACCACTTAATGATAATTGTATTGTCATAAATGTTGTATAAAAATGTAAGTTTTTTACATGAAGTTTATAGTAAGAGGTGATTGAAGGTAAGATGTAATATCATCGAAATTTACAAGATTATCCTCATTGCCTTATATGCTGAAGATCAAATAATGAGGGCACAAAAGTTTAAGATATGGAAAAAACAAACTATAATCCAGTTATGAAAATCTTATTTTTTTGACAGGGTGACTGACTTATGGAATGAAATGCCACCAGCAGTAGTGGAGGCCTTTCATGTTTATGGGGCTGGATTCTTTACAGTAGGTGTCTGTGACTTATTTGTGATAAATTTGAACAATAAAGGGACAGCACACAATCCACTTGTTTTAAAATAATATATTCAAAACAAGTCAAATGTATGTACAAGAAAAACTCTGTACAATATTGATTACCACAGTTGTATCTAAAGCTTTAAATAATTCTCTTTTCTTGTCATGACATGATGAATTATTTCTTCTCCACTCTTATAACAATAGTATCAGCAAAAAATTCACATTCCCCCAGAGTTACCACAGTTGTATCCAGAACTTTAAATAATTATCACCTTTTCATCAAAGTCTACAAAGGCAGGTTCAATTACTTTAGAACACCCTTTGACAAGACAAACTATTCTCCTTATCTTTGTTAAACTGAGAAACTTACTTTAAAATATTGCCCGTTACTTGCTAAACTAACAATCACACAGTCTGACATCACTTTCACTAACTTAACATTTTGTGACTTAACTACTTGCACTCACTTGGTCACCTATATATATACAATTCCCATCTCAGCCCTAGAACTTTCTATAAACTATGTGACACTATGATGTAACAATACTCACTGAAGGCAACAAGAAAAATACAGAAGGTTCGCGTAATGTGACATCAAATTACAACAATTGAACTACACACACAACATATGACTCTTACAGAGTTACATAATGAAATTTGTCATAACTATTGCCTGTACAGTAATTACTTTTAACATCCTTGTTATGAAAACTAAATAATCATTAAATATTTGATCACTAAATGAACTAAATAATAACTCTAACACTAATCAGTCTTGTATATCCAACAAGGCCAGAACTAAACAAGTAGATTAAGAGAGTAGATGACTTTCTGAAAAGTAAACAATGGGTTTTTTAACTTTTTTTCAAGAGTAGGTGTGCAAGAGCATTTTAAAAGAACTAAATGTTCCTTTGTTATCCACGTTATGTTATATGTTGTAATTTCAATACTCTTTCCCAACAGTTTAAAACAGTCTTGTATCACAAAAATTCTCTCAAAATTTCATATTCTCTAAGAATGTTTTACAGTTTCATAAACCATGCTTAGCTGATTAAATATAGAGAGCAATCAGTTTAAAGGTCCTAATCAGTTAGTTATTTTTCCTTATTTGCATAAATTAAATAATTTCTGTATTGAAAAGAAATACATAGAAAAAGTTCATAAAGTTTATAATGATGATAATTCAGAAAAGAAAAATATGTTAACCTTGTTTCTCCATTAATTCTTCCATACACTTTAGCTTTTCATTTCCTTTTCTTCGTCTTCTTCGGATCTATAGTTTATCTTTCACTTTTTGAATTAATGGCATATTTTTCTGAAAAGAGCTATTAGTACTACTTCCCCATTGATTGTGAAGTCCTATTACAAAATACATCTTGAAAACTTTGTCTGAACACCTACAAAAAATTTGTAATACTGGATGACATAATATACTTTCATATGTACTGCACATCATAAAGTGAAACAAAATTATTAATGTCAAAATGTTAAAGACCTATTTTTCAGTACAGTATCATATAAAAATATTATTCATTTTGAAAATAAAAGTAAATAAGAAATTTAATAATAAAACAACACATAAAATATTATAAATCTAAGACTTCAAGTACAAAAACTTTTTTGATTATTTTTTCAAACTCAAAAACAAGTTACACAAAGGTAAAATATTTTTTTCCAAGTACAAGCATACAATATTCTGAATATATTATTCTAAAACAAACCTTGCAAGTCTGTATAATGAAATCATTTTAATATGCTTCTTAGAATCAAGAAAAACATTGAGGTTTGGGAAAAAGGTTCTGGGATGGAAAGGTTGCCATACTAGGAAATAGTTTTATCTTGAAAAAATAAGAGTTACAGATTATATGACTAGCTGGGTGAGCTCAAGCCCCCGTCCTTATGCCCCAAAAGTGTCTTTTTTTTCCTCAATCATAAAAAAATTGTCAACAACTACTAAAGGATACACCTAATTTCATACTTTCCTTGCTGTGAGTTACTGGGTAGAAAAGACGATTTCAGATATAAGTCTATACAAGAGAGTATCAATTTCTCTTCCCAAATAATTCTTACCATCTCACCATTAAGTACAAAAAGAATGATGAACTGACACTATCAACTCCTTTAACAATCTTAAAAACCTCATAATTATATCCCCTGAAACTATTCAGAGATCTTAACCTTTCCTTGTATAACAAACTTTCTACACCAAGTATCATTATCCTAATCATCAACCCTCTTCCCAAAACCCAATGTATTTCTTGCCTCAGAAAAGTTTTTTACAACCAAGAAAAAAAATGAAAGGGCATACATTTCTCTTTCTTACTGAAATAACAACAGATAAAAAATAAATAAATGTGCACAGGGAGAGTGGGTGGGTAGGATCAAGCCCCTGCCCTTGTATCCTAAAAGTGCCCATTTTCTCAATAATAAAAAATTGTTAACAACTACTAAAAGATACTCCTAATTTCACACTTTCCTTGCTGCAAGTTATTAAATAGATAAAAATATTTCAGCTTTGAAATGAATGAAACACAGAGATTTGTAGATCTATACAGTAAAAAAAACAACAAAAAAACTGTGATATGCTATTAAGTGTTAATATGCAAGAGTTCACTATTCAATTTTATTTCTTAAAATTTGTAAATAAAATCAAATGAATAAGAATAAATGAGGATCAGTTTTCTTCTTATATTTTCAACAAGTCCAAATGGTCTGTTAGAAAAATAAAATTGTCTTATACAAAGAGAATTTTGACCCAGCAAAAATTTATATTTGTATTCTCTAGCCCTACTATCTCACCATTAAGTACAAAACATATGATGCATTGAACTATTACCTCCTTCAACTCTTTTAAAAACCTCAATCATATCCCCTGTTAGTCTTCTTTTTTTTTAAGATAAAACCATTTTATGGATCTTAACCTGTCCTTATATGACAGCTTTTCCATCTAAGGTCTAATCATACAAATAGCCCTATGTGAAATATTTTCACAAACCCCAATGTTTTTATTGCCCCAGAGAAGTTTTTAAAATTAAAAACAGAGAGAGAATATCAATTTGTCTTTCCAATTAAAATGACAACAGATAAAAAGAAGATTAAATTTCAATGATAAAACCTACAATCAGTAATAAATGTTTATATTTATACACTAGTAAGTACTAGTACTATGTAACAAGACAATTTTTTCTTTTTAATTCTTGTTGTGCAAAAAGAATTTTTTGGCATGTTTGAAACATTCATGGCCTTTGATTTTAGATAAAACAATAAACTTGATGCCACAGTGTTTTAAGTTCTGCCACTTTATCAAGATGCTGCATCACACAGAACCAATCACAAATTGTAATTTAAATTAAAACTGGATCTCTATCCTGAAGCTCCTTTACAAAGGTGCAAAACCCCAACACCAGAGAAAAAATTTTTTTTTACCTGAAGTCAAATATCATGAACAATTTTTAAACATGGTCATAACTGCTATTTTTATGACATTTAGTTACTTTAAATATAAAAAAATATACATATATAAAAACCATAGGTATTTGTTATTATAAGTTCAACAACATAAGGCTTTTACTATTAGTATTACTAATCTATTTATTCAGGCAGCTATTTTTAACTTTAAGTAAAATTTTACACTAACATAATAATAAAAATAAAATAGAAGCTGAACTAGAAATTAGACCTACTATCATTTCATAAACTTAAAGCTAACATTAACTTACAAGATTACGACAGAAAGATACTACTACAAATTTCGGTATACAGTGATACTTTATTACTATTACTACCACTACCATAAGATGCGCAAGACTCGTATTCACAGTAAAATGCCACATGGAAATTGGAATCTAGTACTCAAGAATTAGGATTCAATTGTCAAAGTGAAATTAAGGATAAAAAAATAAGATAAAGAAAACGATTTTAAGTTCCAAAGAATGATTTCTACTGTATATTTTAAACTTAAAAGAAACAAAATAATAGTTTTTACCAATGTGTATTCTGCTTTCATTATTTCAGACAGACAAGCTGGGTAACAGAGAAAGTCATCGCTAGGTGCAGATTCGGGGCACGGGAATTTTGGCGTTTTAGTATTATATCGATCATGGTTTTTCTATTCCGATTTTTCAAGACACCAGAAAGCATTTGACAAGATGCTACATAAAAGGTTTGTTAAAAAATATTTCTATAGGTGTGGGAGATACGTTAATAAATTGGATAGAAGAGTGACTGGATGGAAGAAAGCAGAGGGTAGTTACAAAGGGAGTTCAATCAAACTGGATTAATGTCACAAGTGGGGTACATCAGGTTTGTTTGTTTGTTTTGAATTTCGCGCAAAGCTACACAACGGCTATCTGCGCTAGCCGTACCTAATTTAGTAGTGTAAGACCAGAGGGAAGACAGCTAGTCATCACCACCCACCGCTAAATCTTGGGCTACTCTTTTACTAACGAATAGTGGGATTAACCGTCACATTATAACGCCCCACGGCTGAAAGGGCGAGCATGTTTGGTGTGATGGGGATTCAAACCCGCGACCCTCAGATTGCGAGTCGAGCGCCCTAACCTCCTGGCCATGCAGGGCCAGGTACCTCAGGGCTCAGTCTTAGGACCTTTTCTCTTGTTACGCATCTGCTTGTTTGTTAATTTCCGGTAT